CAGAATTAATTTTATAGAATGCAGGGTTGGTTGTTTTGGTCCCTCCAATATCAGCAGCTGAACTCCAGTCCAAACACGATCCGAGCCTCCCCCCCTGCCCTCGAAAGAGATAATCACACCAGATCTGAAATGCCATCGCGTGTAGCTTCACGGCCACACAGCAGGGAACTAATCAGGGTTCACAATACACATGGGCCCAAGCCATGGACTTCAGATCCGGTTTCTCCCACCTCCTCCCCAGAGCTGCTGCCTGATCGGATACTGGGCTTTGATTTGACCCACTGAAGAGAAGGTGGGTAGGCTTGAAATTTGAATCTGGAATCCAGATTCCACCATCGTTTGGGCTGGAGTAGTGCTTGGACACAGGGATTTGTGTCAGGGGCATCTAGTAAAGAAATAGGGCCCAATTCTCTTCTCATTGACCCCGCCGTGGCTGGAGTCACGCTAGAGTAAGTGAAGGAAGCACCTGACCAGGAGTCCTCTTTATAAAGCCAAGTGGCTGATAGCCCTCTGCCTTTCACCAGTCCCTTACTCCATTCAGCCCCAGGGAGGTCCTCCTGATTTCCACTAGGGTGGAAGAGAGGAGACTCCCAGAGGACAGCTGTGCTTTGGACTTCCCCGTGCATTCGCCTCAGGCTCTGTTACTCAGGGCTTGATATTATTATTTTTTAATATTTTCCTGCAAGGCGTGTGTGTGGAGGGGGGCGGTGGGGGAATGAAAGTAAATCACACCCAGGAACACCTGCCAAATCTCCGGTGAAGCGAGGTGGGGATGCCCCCTGCTGACATTCCACCATTGCGGGCTGGAGAATAATTAGCTGAGGCAGCTGCTGGAACAAGTTGGATTAAAAAGATCCTTGCTGGAGTTCATTTGTTTGGATTCACTTGCACTTGGTCTCTCTCACTCCCCCACCTCTGTGCACTCACTGGTGTAGTTTTGCACCCACCCACAGTCCCCATGGGAAGAGGAAGCTCTGTGTATGTGTGTGTGAGATGGCATGTGGGTGTGTGGGTGTGAGAGAGAGAGAGACCTTGTGCTAGGCCTTGCACTAGTTTGCACACACCCCTAGGACTGGGTGAGCCTGGATTAGACTCCTAGGGCCATTGATTTACAGCTCCTCTCTGAATCCTCACTGACTCTAGGGTAAACCAATGCAGAACATGGGCCACAAAAGCTGGTGTTGGCAAAGCCCTGCTAGGTCACCTTCTCTAGCCACGCACACAGTGAATGATTATTTCACACTCGGGGAGGTCTGGTGTTCTGGTTTAACAGGACCATTCTGCTTCTGCAGGGATGCCCCAGAGACCTACAATAATGTAACAACACCTGGAGTTTGGGTCATTTCAGCAGTCCTGTTGCCTCCTCTCATGGCCTGGTGGTCTCTCCACTCTGGCCATGCCTGAAACCCTGTCCTCCACGTGGCCACTGTCATGAGTCCTATGACACCACTGCTGTGCCTAACGCTTTACCACACAAGGTTTTGCTAGGACCCTACCCTGGGTGCATAAAACCTGGAGAGTCCTGAGAGAGAGAGAGACCTGGAGAATCTGGGAGTGAGTCTCAAAGTTTGGCTCCACTTCTGAATGTTCCCACCATTAACAGAAATGCACCTGGGAAGAGAAGTGAGGAGGGAATAAAAACAGAGGCCCTTTAAGAGCTAATAAGGGTCCATAGTGTATCGTGCCATCCCCACAGAGATATTTCTTAATGGAGATTTGCTGGCCGCTGAAGCAGCAAGAGGTTTCTATATCAGCCCAAGCTTAGGTCAATATTGGCTTAAGTCATTGTGGACAAGCTCGGGTGGGTCTTCAGCCAGTGGACAAAGGCACTTCCCCCAAGAGGGGTTGGAAGGAGGGAGGTGGTTGCTTGTGCCAACAGTGATCTCTGGTGGTGGGGGAGAAGGTCAGATAGGCGAGGAAGCAACCACGCTCCATTATTAGCACCTACCCCCCTCTCCCTGCACACCTGTAATGAGAATCCCAGCCGTCACCCAGCCGGCTCCTCGTCTGTGGAAGACAAGATTAGTGACGCTCTTGCCAGGGGATGGATTAAATGGGTGAACGGAGAGATGGGTGCATTAATTAGGTTTTCCAGAGAGGATTATGGAGGTGGCTGCTGCTGCTGCTTCTCCCCAGCCCCCTGGAGAGAGGAGGATTGCTGTGGGGGGAAGAGGAGTGGAGGGATGAAGTCTGCTGGAGACTCCTTCTCTCATGAACAACTTTCTCCCAGTTTGAAGATGCCAAGGACCCTCTTACCCAGCTGTACCTTTACCTGTAGACACCACACATCAGTTCTCCTGGTATAAGACTTTGCCCTTCCCTCCCGAAGAAGCAGCTCTCCTACTTTAAGGCACCCCCACCCCACATGCACACGGCTCCCCCTTTGGGGACATGAAGTCCTCCCCGCCCCCTGGAAGAACAGCTCCATTTTGTTGAGAGCTCACTCCAGTATTTCTTATTCTGGTCCTACTTAAAACCCCCTAACAGCAGGGCAGCTGGTCGTGGAGATGAACCTACTTCTCCAGCAGATTTTCAAGTTAGCTCCATCCCTTTGGAGGTGAAGGACCCACTTCTTTTCTCCTGTCAGTTTTACATCTGTGAAACCCCACTGCCTGCAATGCAGCTCCTCCTGATTTACAGCAGTGTCAGTGACAGGGGCATCAGGCCCACAGACTTGGTTGGCATTACTCCTGATGGCCGCCAGTACCAGTAAGAGGAGAACCCAGCTCCAAGAGAGCTCAGAGCTGTGAGCTCTCCGTGCTGTGTCTGAATCTGCTCTGCCTGTCTAATTGAGGTACTTCAAATGCGCCCATCTCCCTGGCATTGAAGCCCGGAAGGAAATAACCGGGGCTGATGTAGGTTCATCTGAAGGCTGAGTTGGCTTCAACTTCATGTCATTCCCTCCCAGCCTCCCAGCAAAACCAAGGATCAATGCCTGCTTAATTCTGTGTTGGGCAGCAAGTGAAATGTGCATTCGGAAACGAGACCTATCCGTGTCTGTGAGGTGATCACTGAGAGTGGCGTGGAGACGCGACGGATCCATCCAGACTCCATGGCCAGCATGATGGCCATGGCTTGGCGCTCGCTGATCAGCGCAGCATTGCAGAGGGAACAATGGGGACCTAGGGAGAAGCCTGCACGTCCCAGCAAGACTTGCATTAACCGCGTCTGTGCAAGGCAGCCACATCTCCAGTTAGCTTTCCTTTAATAGAGCAAATTCACAGCTCCTTGGGGCTGGGGGGAACGGACAAAGAAAGAGAAGCCAGGGGGAGCAGGAACAGGCTCCAAATTGCCACCCCTTTCTTCTCCCTGGAGAATTTGCAGATGCCCTGAGAATTCGGAAAGAAAGCAACCCCTGTCCGACCTGCTTTGTCACCGATTGAATGCACGGGCTGGACTATCCTTAGGTAATGGCCTTATGGGGGTTATTTTTTTAAGACAGTACTTACAGGTCTGGATTCAGGGGTTTCTCTCTCTCCCTCTCTCATTCCCTTTGTCTTTCTCTCCCCCTCTCTCCCTCCTTGTTGCCTCTGCTGTAGCTTCCAGTAGAGAAAAATAATTATTCTTCTCAAAGGGCTAACACAGTCCATGCACACACACAGAGCACACACTCTAGCATTTGCACCCAAATCAATGCACAAACCACAGGAGACCTCTTAACCTCTTCGGCCCAGACCCCAGCCATTGGAAGTCAATATTCAGGACCACTTTGGTGGAAATGTACATGCACATAACAAAATAACAACAGAAATGAAATGACAATGAAATCAAGGCAAATTCCTATTTTAAAGGAGTTAATTCTCCCTTTCCTTGTGCAGAAGTCACCATGACCATTCTGATTAATAAATGCACCATGTTCTTTCTTTCTTTTTTTTTGGTTTGTTAAACTAGGGATTGCCTCATTGTAGGAAATCCAGAGACTCTCACACACAATGGGTTTCTTTTTTTAGCACTAGTATTTGAACTGTAAGTTTTCAGATAAAGATTTCTTAGGGGAATCTCTTATGGAAACACTGGTCTCCACCTATCCCAGTAACAATTATTTTCTTAAAGGACTTAAGGATGTCCAGCAAAACACACTCACTCACGAACAAATTTCAGTTCTTCATCCTTCAGTTCACACTCATGAGGAAAAATATACTTCTGAACTAACCAGGGAGTTTATCTTTCCTCTTTGCCTACAACCAAGGATTGATACTGACTGAAACAGATAGAAGAACTTAAATCTATTTTAGTTGAACACACATATACATGAATATATGCATTAGCTACATTTTGTATATAGTAGACAGTGCGTATATATACAAACATTCACGCTCACGATAGTTGACTACAACTGAAGAAGAACTTATATTTTAGCTGATCACACAACTGAACATATACATTTCATATACAGTATATGATGTATAGATAGATATACGCACACATGCATATTCAAACACATTCACACAGTTGCGCTTCTGATACTTGACTATCAGATAAAGAATTTATATTTAATTTAGCTAAACGCACACATGCACTGGCTTAAGAATTGTATGTAAACTTCATGCATAGTACACAGTGCAGGGTACATGTATATGTGTTACATAGATACACATAGGTATATACACACTCAAATTTACACACATACATGTATTTCATTGATACCTGAATAAAACAAAAAGAACTTTTATTGCAGCAGATCACACATATATATACATGAACATAAGTATTTCAAGTACATACATAAACTGCATGCATGGTATACAGTGTGACTGCATACTCACACACACACCCACACCCACACATACAATACTTAACAAAAACAGATAAAGAGCTTAAATTTCTTTTAGCTGATCACATAGAGATGCACATATATATTACCTGTGCAATACATATTATGTAGGTATATGTACATATATATATATATATGTACACACTCCCATTCACCATCCCTCACACACACACTTCCATGATGCAAGACTTTTTAACAAAGAAAGGAAGAGAAAATGCTGTCTTACTTTTTCCTTCTTTTTTTCCCCCTCTCTTCCCTGCAGCCTTAATTTCAGGACTTCAGTGGGAGTGGAATTCTTTGGTAGAGATTATGAAAAGCAACATAACAAACCACTGAGCACTGAACACAGACTTGCAGAGGGAATGGCTTTGCCAGCAAAGACGAGGAGGAACAAAAGCCCAGCAATAAGAGCGGTGCTGAATAGGTGTCTTCCTAATTGTAAGGGAATTGTATGGATGTGTGTGTGTGTGTGTGTGCGGTAGCAGGGTGGGAGGGAGGCGGGTAGAAGGGAAGATATGAAGAGACCTCCCTCTCATACAGGCAGTGGAAGGGAGCCTGCAACCTGAATGTGAGGTTATTGAATAAATTATCCTCCGTCTCTCGCTCTCTCCTCATTGGGCCAGGGAGCAGGGAACACTTCTGCATCAATGATGTTATGATGAAACCTTTGCATTCTCTGCACAATCTCACACTGTTACCTTCTGCTAAGCAGCGCACGGATCTGTGCATTCTACCCAGTTAGAAAGCTCAATTAAGACCCTAAATCATTCCCAGGGAAAGAAGCAGAGAATTAATTTGCTTGCTCTCTTTCTCTGCCCCCTACCCCTTCACTATAATCCTTCTCTCTTTGGGTTATTTTCCCCCCTTTCCCTTTATAGCATGACAGATGAAAAAAGAGAATCTGGCCCAAGGGGAAAAAAATTCACAATGCTCTAAATTCTGCTTTCAACAGGCAGGGAAATTAAAAATAGCCAACATAGTTCTCAATCTGAGGCAGGGTTCTTTCTCTAATGAATGTAATTAGCAAAGTGAGGGTGGAAGTGTGTATCCCCCGCTGTTTTCTGCCTCCCTCGGTGTTTTTCTTAACGCTAGTCTGCACAATTCAAATGTGATTGGGAAACATCATTTTTCCACTTCCAAGAATTGCTTGGGCATGAGTGTCCTATGGAAATGACTGTTCTCCTCTCCACACACATCCATCCACACCCCTGCAAATCTTTCTTCCCTCAGCCTTACCCATGAATCTAGCTCTGTAATAAGAAAAGGAGGACTTGTGGCACCTTAGAGACTAACAAATTTATTTGAGCATAAGCTTTCGTGAGCTACAGCTCACTTCATCGGATGCATCCGGAAAGTGAGAAATGGCAGAGAATCTATGGAGTCCACCAGGAACTTCGCTATTGCTAATTGATTTTATGTAGAAGATGCTTGTATACTATAGTAATGAGCTGCAGTATAAAACCCTTAGATAGATAGATAGATAGATAGATAGATAGATAGATAGATAGATAGATGAGCTGTGTAAACCCAAACCAGTAGCAACGTGAGAGTTGTGCCATCTTCAGGCACCAGACATTGTCCTCATTTGTAGGATTTTTTTTTTTAATTGTCTTGATGTCCTGAATTTCCATCATTCCCAACAATGCAGCTTGGCAGGATTTTTGCTCTGAGCTAATGAAGAGATGGCAAAAATAAACATGTTATATAAGATTTGTTTATATTTTTCCATAAGTGAACTGCCATCAAGAAATGATTTGCTACGAGGGTCAAGCTTGTGGGAATAGTCAGACTGGTCTGCCAGACACAGGAGGTGTTTGTTTTGCCCATAATGCACAACATTGCCGGAGCCAGGAACGATAGACTGATAGACGGTGGCAGAGAGCATGAGTTGGAAATAATACCTTTAATACACACAGGGCTAGCCTGCGAATGCTTCTCTGCCGTTGGGGAGCAGTAACGCACAAGAGTAGCCCCATTGGCTTTAATAGGTGAAGAATGCGTCACACAAGTGAGGAAGGGGGTCACAATTTGGCCCAAGGCAGTTTACAAATTGACAACCAACTACAGAGTAATTGGTCACTCAGGGTTATATTCGGATCCCATTCACTCATGTTATGTAGTACCTCAGCCCCACTGAAATACATGAGGCTAATCCCAGAGTAAGAGTGGCACAATCATGCTCTTATTTAAAAGTTAACTCACAAAGGATCACATCCTATGCTCCTTACTCAGCTGTGACCAAGTGCCCTTAACCAGGCAAATCCAATAGTCTACTTGAAAAAGAACCTCTAAAACTGGCTCACGAACAGCCACCAACTCAATGCCATTCAGAGACCAGACACCCCAATGAGGAGCTACAGTTTGTATTTAAGGAATGATGTTCTTGCAATGCCCAGAAGAGCCAGAAAAATATCCTTGCAATTGATTGCACGCTTGTGAATTGTTGTTATGATGTGTGAGATATTCTTCTGCAGGTTTTAAAGAGGTTCACTGCTGTGATTACAACACATTTGCGTCCAATAATAGCGATCGATGTTACCTGGAGTGTTCTATTTTTAGATTTATTTTCTTCCAAATTGTGGGCCGCGTAGGACCTTCTGTCCTCTCACACTGCTCTCATTAACATCACTGGCAGCTCTCCACGCACTGTGATGGCAGGAGTTGGCTTCATTTATGAAATTAGCTCCATTAGCTCAGAAAGAAACAATCTTATTTTGCATTAATGTCCAAATGGACACGAGTGCCTTTCTGCTTGGCAGCTGGGAGCCGGGGATTGTGCCACTGAAAGCAATTTCCCCTAGATTTTGCAAGATTTTACCAATTACCTCCAAGTCATGAGGTCTTAATGATCTCAGGATGAGTAACACACAGTGAATCAGGAGTAACTGATGTAAATTTTTAACAGCCAGGGTAACTAACCATTGGACCAACTTTCCCAGAGATACTCTCTACCTGGCCCACAAGTTATTGGGTTTGGCGCAGGAATTACTATGTGAAATCCTCTGGCCTGGGATGATCAGAGGGATCCCTTCTGACCTTAATGTCTATGAAAGTCAGTGTGAGAAGAGAATTGCTCTCATGACATTTTGTAGATTTGATCGGATGTTATTATTTTAACAGTTTCACCAGTTCTTGTGATTTTATCTCAAGTCGTGTGATATTTGGTGCTTTTCTTCAAGCCCCAGCCCTTGCAGTTCTGTGATGATGGGAGAATCTCACATTAATATAAGTTAAAAAGTAAATTTCCAGTCTTCATGGTTGTGGAGAAAAGCTTGAAAACATGATGTCCTAAAGGGTCCAAAACTAAAAGGATCAAAAATGTATTATCTCCTTTTTAAAAATGGTGTGAATTTCAAGCCACTCCTGTGATTTTATGGGACTGACATATGCTATTTGGACACTTGAGGTAGGCAACACTGCAAGCTTGAATTCAATTACGTAGAACTGGTTTATACTGGGAAAGAAACCCACCACCCACTAGTTACTAAAACAGTCAAACTGTCCTGTGAAAAGAACTCATCAGCTTCTAAAACCTGGACTTAGTGGACACTGAATGAGCCCAAGGATAAGGTGCTGTGCTTGAATACAGTGCAGATAGCTCCCTGATACTGTTATTCTGAGCAATGCTCCTTATTTACTCTGTGCCCCTTCTACTTTGGCGAGGGTGTGTGTTGTGTAGCGCGTTAGGCTAGCAGGTAGGACACATTTTGGCTGTTGTGTTGTCTTTTCATTAGCAGGATCCCTGAGGTGCAGAAGAGGAGATGGCTGTCTATAAACCACAGGGGGAAAGGAAATGCCCAGTTCAACTCCTGATATTAGGGAACTTAAGAAATAATGAGCCGGGCAAGTGAAGCAGAGCAGGAGAAGGTGAGAGAGCAAATGAGACAAGCGAGTGAGTTGGAACGAGATGGAGAAAGGAGCCAGTTGGAAGGCGAGGTTGGTCTGGCTATGAGCGGCACAGCTCCCAGCAGGGAGATCGGCATGCCTCGACCCATTGCCTTCACTGGGGCTGGGCATGTGGGTAAGGGCATCTGGATGGGGCACATAGAGAAGGCCAAGGAATAAAGCGGTGTGTGAGCTGAGCCCATTTGCCAGTTTGGAGACCAGACACAGTGGTGAGAGGCACTATAGAAAACACGGACCTAGATGAGACAGTCAGGGGCAGAGAGGGCAAGAAGAGGAATAAGGGAGAAAGAGAGGAACAGAGAGAGGACTAGAGACAGGCAGAGTGAAGGAGACCAGATGAGCAATGGGGGCGAGACACGGAGAGCAATAGTGTATATCTCCAGCATCCGATTTATGATTTTCCTCCCTCCCTGAAGCTGAGCAGCGAGAGACCGGGATCATCTGTCTTCATTACATCATCCAAATAGGCTCTGTCAGTTTACACTGTAAAACTAATCAATATCCCCCTGCAGACCTTGCAGACTGCTGGCCCCCCGTCATGCTTTAGTAGGCAGCTTCTACCTCTGGTGGTGCAGGTTGGGAGCGAAATGGCGGGGGGTGGGGGTTCTGAAGGGCTGTGAACCCCTAGATAGATTTACACACACCTCTTGGTGTGTTTTTCTCACACACAGAGCCTTGACTTTTTCCTTTCCAGCAAGAAGGTCTGTGATTTAGGGGTGGACAGATCTGGGCAAACTATTGCAAGGCATTGTCTGCAAATGTTCATGTAAGGTTTTTTAATGAATTTGCTTTGGCCAGGTTCACACCCTTTTTTTCTTTCTTGCTTGCTTTCCCCATAGACATTATCTATCTATCTATCTATCTAGGTACTTCATGGGCCCCCTTCACCATCATATCCAAGCACCTTGCTGTTTGCTTTCCACAAACATCCCAAGCAAACTGCATGCACAAGTTGCACGAGTTGATCCAGTCAGGAAGCAAAAAGTCACACTAAATGGCTTATCTGACTGGTTGCAAGTGCAAGGACAGTTCAGAATACTACTATTCTCCCACAGAACTGTCAGGTAAAAACAATCCAATAGGATAGTCATCGAATAAATGCAAAGAACAAACACATTTGGGAAAATCATGATCAGCCTGTGGACATTCCACCAGCGGAGAGTGAAGCTGGGCTAAATTATCAGAAGAGTTCAGCTTCCGTGTAGGCACCTCCACTACGGTGACCAGACAGCAAGTGTGAAAAATTGGGATGGGGGTGGGGGGTAATAGGAGCCTATCTAAGAAAAAGACCCCAAAATCGGGACTGTCCCTATAAAACTGAAAAGGAGTACTTGTGGCACCTTAGAGACTAACCAATTTATTTGAGCATGAGCTTTCGTGAGCTACAGCTCACTTCATCAGATGTATACCGTGGAAACTGCAGCAGACTTTATATACACACAGAGAATATGAAACAATACCTCCTCCCACCCCACTGTCCTGCTGGTAATAGCTTATCTAAAGTGATCAACAGGTGGGCCATTTCCAGCACAAATCCAGGTGCTGGGACATCAGGTCACCCTACCCTCCACTAAGTTCTGCCTGGAATGCCAAAAATGCTCAGTAGCCAGTAGCTGCCACTGTCCTGCATAAGGGAGTTGCTAGGTGCAAAGCTCCTGGTCAAAAATCTGGGCCCACGTTCGTAGAATAAATTGTGAGCTGCCCACTATTTGTTCAGCTCTAGCAGCAGAGACACTCCAACATTAACCCAGCCTGGAATTATTCTTCCACGTTGCAAATTTCAGCTCACCACAATCCCTGGCTGTGCACTGGAAATTCTCTTTGTCTCCTCTGTGCCTCTGCGTGCTCAATCCTCACGTATAGGGACAGGGAGTTAATAAACCTGACCCATAAAGTTCAAGATTCAATCATCCGGTGCTGCTGGATGTGAAGCAAAGACGCTGAGGCTTTCAATTGCTTGGCAGGCATGGGCCTGACTGAACAATGATGGAGGGGCACGGTGGGGAACTGCCACAGGAGTTTGCAGGGGTGTGTGGTGCAAAGGGGTTAACCCCTTCAGCGCTCCCTG